ATGAAAGTCAGGAAAGTTTCGTTTAACTTAATTTGCTAATGTTTAAGGTCCACTTATAGTCCGCACAAATCGCTTTAGCCGTAGACTGCTTGAAGTCCGCCTTTTCTCTTAAAATCCGTCCAGTTCTTATCTCATCCAGCGCGATTGCAAATTATTATTTAGGGATTGAGACGAGACGAGAAAAGATGGCTTACGCCCTCGTTTCTCGCGACAAGCGGCCTCGCCGCTCCTCGTGCTTAGGTTTCGCGTGCAGTAACTTTGCAAAGAAAAATAAGCTAGAGACTGCTCGCAGTCTACTTAAGCCGAGATCGTCTTGGTTACTAAGAAAAGAAACCAATTTTTTAAAATGTTTCATATTTCTTTGAAAAGACAAGTAACCGATGTGATATCCAGGCTGAAAATCGTTCAAATCGTTGGAGACATATAAAGATATATTATTTAATTTCAGTATAGCAAAACACGTCACGTTTCAATTCAAGCATCCCGTGGTTCTCATTAGTTTAATTTTCTTATTTTCTTCACCAAGTTTCACTTTTTCCTGTCGTCCCCAAAGGGTTCTTTTTCTGAGAAACGTTTTTCAAGTTTTGACGTCACATAAATTTGCCAACAAAAAAAACTTCCGCAAAACTTTCCGAAACAAGGAAAGAGCGTGCAGTTATACACGTAAGAAAGTAATTAGTTTAACTTTTAAACTATTTCAAATGCAAATTGATCGGATGCTGGTCCTTAGGCTATATAAATCATCTCTCTACGCTGAAATACAGCGAAAATACAATCTGCGCTTTAAAACTTTGACCTCTTTAGAGTTCCGACTGACGCTACAAAAACTCTGTTGTCACAAGCCAAGAGGTACTCAGTTCAAAATTAAGCTCCTTGTGCTCATTTATCTTAAGTTACCTTAAAAGCCGCGACTTCTTTGAAATTTATGGCACATGAGGCATCAACGAATAACGCGCGGTTTTTGAGCGCAGGACTAAAGAAATTATGAAGAAATCAAGTATCCATGTTTAAAGCGCAGCGCCACAGATTCCGTTCGTGAAAGGAATAGACAAAGCGAAAATTTAACTGAAAAATCATGTTGGAAAGAACATTTGGATACAAAGGCCCTATACCGCGAATCTCTTATTCAAGATATATGAGCATTGACAAAATAAATGTCTTTTCACTAGACGCCCACGAGAAGATATATGAAGAGTCTGGAAGTGGTTTTAAAAAATTACCTTGTTCAAGACTTAATAAGGAACTTTTTGAATGTGACAAAGTAAAGAAGAAAGGAATGTCGAGGCTAAAACTACTGAAAAATGAAGGACCAAGCCGGGCAGGAGATAAAAATCATACACAAGGAAAGACGCATCTTTCACCTCCTCCGCAAGGATTTCAAGCTACGTCAGGAAATAGGATTCAACATCGTAAGGAAAGAGGCTTTAACGCACCAACGCAACCCAAAATTGGGCCGCCTCCGCAAACATTTCAACAAGCTGCGGCAGGGATTAGTTCTTCTGGCGAGCAATCAACCAACGATCACAGAACTGACCGAGGATCATGCAGTGCACTCGAGTGTTCGCGAGAGCTTTGCGGCAAAAACTATGATTTTCCACTGTCTAGTGAAAAAGTATGGTTAAACTTTGACAACGATTCAGTTTACATGAAACCTAGAACACAGCAGTGGAAAAAGCGCGAGTCCTTGAATTCAGATAAACAAGATCAAGACAAGGAGATGCAACGGGAGAAAATTATTAACTCGTGGATGCAATTTTTCGGATAATAGTTCTGTTTGCTAAAATAATATGCAGGAAAGTAAATGTTGTCGAATGAAAACAATAAAAGCTTTAAACTATGGTAAAAATGAAATTAGTTTAGTTTGAAGTTTGCGGCAAAATGGCCGAACGTTTCATCCGGCAACTCATAGAAGGAGAGAGCATTCGAATTTGGAAGACCTCGTCCTATGGCTACTCAAGTTTCGGAGAAGACATGAGAGACTCTGGGAATGAAAATTTACATTTTAGAGCTGTGTATGTATCTGTAATGAATCGTGGTCAAAAGTAATTTTGTTATGGCATCGGATAGGTTATTGGCTTGGGCTGTGTTATGGAGATAAGTTGTCACAGGAAAGAGAGTCATCTCCATTCTTAATCTCGTACCCAGATCTCCCACAGCACACTTTTCAGTGTAAAACAAACTGAGATCTGGGTACGAGATTACTCCATTCTCTAACCCAGTCGAATCAACGTTAGCGAGTGTTTACAGAGAAAAAGGTTGACCCTTTTGCCCAAGCCAACATCTGACGCAAATTCTTATTATATAAAACAGCGCTCGTGCATGCTCTGATTCATGAGTCTCGCTTTCACTGAGCTGATCCGGCTGGGTGAAGTGTTTATATGGGGAAAGGTTGACCCGGAGAGAAGGGTGACCCTACCATAACAAAAGGGCTACCCGGCTAGAACCCAAAAAGGAGAAGCCCAAAGACTACTGCAAAGCTGATCATAACAGGGGCACTCAACGTCAATTTTTAGAAAATATCTGTTCGGAAGACGATTTGAGATCTAGAATTTTCGGAGCATTTGTGGTAAAATTTATTTCTTGCCTGCCTCTCATAGGATTTTCGAACATCTAAAAAATGGTATAATTGCCCATTTTTAATGGATTTTTACCCTAAAAAAGTCTCCTAGAATTTTCGGGAGCCTTTTTTCTGGTTGAAATTTTTGAAAAGGTAAGTTTTGATCCCTATAAATTTCGGATCACTAGACTTTTAGCTAGGAAATCCGAACAGATGAAACATTTTTAGGGGATAAAAATATGCGTATATCTACCGTTTGAATACTAAAATACGTTCAACAATGCTATGTTTAATTGGTTTTGAACTACATTCAACCACAAGCTGAGAAAGTTGTTGCCGCCTCCATATAAGAGCAACTATAATCTAAGGCACGTGCGCACTTTCACTTTACCTCGTTGCAAGACAAATAGATTTAGGAACAGTTTTTTTATGGCCTCAGGCAGAATTGTAAATAATTTTTAGGTTTCTTATTATACGTTTTTAGTTTTAGCTATTACAATAATTGCCCATTTTTACAATTGTTAGTATAAATTATTATCATTATGTAAATACGCAATTCAGCTTATGCTGCAATGTATTTACTAAAGTACCTATCTATCTATCTATTTATCTATCTGGGTGTCCCTGATCATAACAGCGTGTATTGCAGTAGTCTCTAGATTTCTCCTTTTTTGGTTCCCAATATTTTAGCTGATTAGATTTCTTTTCTGGAGATCGAACGTTGACAACCAGCAGGATCTTCGTTCACGGTTTTTGCAGGCGGGTCACCCTTCTAGACGAGCTAAGCTTTGTTTCTCTAGCCTGTTCCAGGCTCCGAGATAGTCGGGTCCGCTGAATTGAGAAAGCGCAAACACGAAAATAAAACGGGAGGAAACCGGGGAGAGCGGGGGCGGCTTCCTTTT